GAAATTGTCCATTCTATGGTATTTTACTTTTGTGGGACCTCTTCAGGGAGAATGTTTTTTATTTAATGATTTTCCACAGAAGTAAGTTTGGGGGGGGGGGGTCACAGAAGACCCGTGTAAGACAAAGGTGGATGGCAAGATTCGTCAGAAAATAAACTCCAAGACAAAAATGCTCAGAATAAACTGGTAATGGAATAAAAGGCAGTTAAAATTCAAAGAATCATAAATCATCTATAACAACCATGACAGGTCTATTAAAATGCACTGACAAATAAAGGGATGCCTGAGAATTCACTCAATTCGTTGTTATTTTAATCCTTTTTTTTTTTAATCCTGCTCTTAATGGCAAAGTGGTTAGATGTTGGGCTGCAAGGTTGACAGTTCAGAACCACCAGCCAGTTCCGCAGGAGAAAGACGGCTTTTTCTTTCCTTTTTTTTTTTTTTGAGGGAGCTTGTGTACTCCTGTGAAAAAAAGTTAGACTCAGAAACCCACAGGGGCCTGTCTCACAGGTGGGCTCTCAGTCAGACTTGATTGAATGGCAGTGGGTGTGAGAGAATGCAGATCTTTCTAACTTGTATGTGAACCACAGTGCACATGACAGCTTTGTGGCACGACTCCTTGATCTCCCAAGCAGAAACAAGCAGAGGCCAATTTTATATTAAGTGCCTGGTCCTTCCAGTTTGCATTTGAACGCCAAGCTAACAGATGCCTTACACTTTTTAAATGTTGCTTTTTCATTTCTATTTTAATTCACAAAACTTTCTTTTCATTCTCATTTTCCTTAGGAATTCCGATGCTTCCCACACTCTCATCATTGTTACCACTGGCAGGAATATTTTCAGCAAATGCAGAAGACAAAGCTGAGGTGCAGCAAAAAATGAATCATTAGACATCAATGAAAGGTCGTGCTAACGTATAAGTGCACTAAACAAAGCATCCGGTTTTCCTTTACTGAACAAAAATCCAGGCAGGGCTCCCCATCACCTAGTATTCTACTTCTGATCTGCTAGCAACGCGTGAAGCCTAACACTGCACCCAAAGCAACTTAAAACGCAAACAGTCACAATGCTACAAACAAGCTGACTGAGGGAAAATCGCCACTCATGTTTTACTTCAAAGCTGCATCATCCTGTTTATTTCGGGAATGAAATCACTTGGTGTTTCATAATCTGTGGTTCTCATTTTTGTTAACAGTGCCCACCACCAGACAATGGAAGGCTGTGCGGCTGCTCCGAGGCAGGTCCGTGCCAGACGTGGCCGTGGCCACCCCTCGACCAACGCCCAGGCTGCGGTCAGGGTCGGGTCGGGGATGTGCGGTCCCTTGACCTCGGCCTCCAGGGCGGGTCTCGGGTACGCGCAGGACTGAGCAGAGCGTCCGTCATGTCTCTTGCCCGGGGCTGGACACTCTCCCTTCCCCAGTTCCATCCCTTCCCGACAAAGATGCCCACACCTCGGGACGCCCCGGAACCCTCGCGGAAGGCTCCCTTGGAGGCGTGCGCCACCCTGATCCCCAGCTCCGGCCGTCGGCGTCGGCATCCCAGACAAACCTCAGCCTTCCCTCCGCCACCCCCACACCTGAAAAGTCACCATCATTCGAGAGGGACGCTTAACCGCGCCCCCGGAGGAGCCGACCCCGTCCTCGCTCTCACTGAATCCCGAAAACGAGCCGGGAAGGCACAGCACCGAGGGCCGCTGCGCGTTGCCATGGCGACCCCCGGCGACCCCAGGGCCGCGCCGTCCCGCCCGCCCCCACGCCTCCGCCCCA